GTGTCATGCATGGAGAAAGCATGTAGAGAGTGGAAAGATGATGTAGATGGAGTGATATGGAAAAATTAGGAATAGAGTGGACCCCCAACTCAAATGACGGAAAGAGCGACTCATGCATGAACCTAAGACATGGTCATGGTGTGAAAGAGAGTATGTACAAAGTGTGTGAATACTTGTGAGTGTAAGTGATAGGTTCAAGACTCTTGTCACGACCATGTGTCTAGACTATGTGACTAGACTCGAACAAAGACTAAGTTAAGACCTCACGTATGTGCACTAAACTAGACAGGTTGTAGTATTTTAGTCATAACTTTTGATTTATAACTTCAAATTGGACGAAACAAATGCAAAATGAAAGATAAAACTCGAGGCTACAGATCCATAGGTTTTACGACTCGTAATTCACTCTAGATCTCCGGTTATGACCAAAACAAGTTGACGCTTGTGCAGTAGACGGGAATAAAAATCCGGGTTGACTCAAAGGAACTATAATCACAAGTCAAACCAAACGGTTAGTTTACTCACATGTAAGTATGCACAAGTAGTCAAATAGTAACAATATGACGCAATGAGTTTGCAACCTAACCATGGGTCTAGTTCTCTAAAGTTCAAGGAGTATGGTTAGTCAATGAGGGTCCATGGTTATGAATCCGGATGCAACGCGCGGAACCCTTACCTTTGGAAGGGTTCGCGCGTATGGATGGGACCCCACAAGTTAAACTTGTTTTCCACGGTTTGGTGAATTTACTAACTCGGATGTACCCTTCTTTGCAATGATCATTCGATTAGGTAGATGGAGCGTGAATTCCCAGAGTGTTATGGCCATATGTAGAACACATGTGGGTTCAAAAAATTAAGAAAAACTTAATCAGGAAGTAAAACCGAGCAAACAGTACTAGAATTGGTCAAAGCAAGAACGCAGATTTCTGGCTCGGTATTGGAAGAACGTAGCGCGAGACAACATGGACGATCGCGAGACGATAGCTCTTTCACGCCGCGATACTGCTATCACGTCGCGACAGAGCCAACACACTACGATGGGTACTGTTTTCTCAGCGCCAGTTCCTACATGCCTTAGCAGCTCTCTTTTGTTCTTAGAATTTTCCAGTTTTTACAGCGTTTTTTCTATTCTAGTTGTGAAAGATATTTTCCAAAGTTCCTACCCGTAAAAATCCTATGTTTTAAAGTATTACAGATGGTCTATCCAATGCGGACCTTTTTATGCTTATGCAAATAATGTCAATCAAAATTACGCACATAAATAATTAGAATGTTTCCAGTCTCATCAACTCATTCTAAATTATTACCAAAGTAAATTTTAGAAATTAAAATAGAAATCCTCCCTAGTGGAGTCGCCAAAAATTGTGGGGAATATTTCAATCATCCAGAACTTGAGCCCCACTGTGATCATACACTTAAGTATAGTGGCGTCTAAAGGGAAGGAAGCTAGAGAAAAAGAGTTACAAACAAGTTTTAGGAACTTATAAACCGTTCAAAGGGTGAAGGTTACACCACTTCACGATCTGTGAGATCACTAACACCATAGTGGTCTTGAACCATGATTGGATATTCAGGGATGAAGGTACAAATCCAACCTAAAAGAGATTGAACCTGCCCTAAAAATAGGCCTCTACTTTATTCTTCTCATATTCATGTGCACTTTCGGACTAACATACAATCATTATATTAACCCTAAACCTGTTTAATCTATGTTGGTTGAATATTAATGCACAAACAAATCTATTATTGGCGATCACTTGAATTTAAATCATATAAGCCTAAATAAAATTATTAATTATCCTATTAAGCGTGATTTCAAGTGCAAATTCCCTTTAATCTTGCTAGAGAGGGCGTGATCAAGCAATAACAATATTATCAAGCAACATAATAACGACAATCATTATCATCATAATAATATTCTCATCAAAGCATAATATTAGCAAGATCCTAGACATGTACTAACAAGATTAATAACAAATCCTAGAATGTCACTAAACATTAAATATTAACGCTTTAACCCTAACATGATACTAGCATGATAGAAGAAATAGGAAGCAACCTAAACATGATACTAAGAAAGCAATAAAAGACATCCTAACATGATACTAGGAATTATAAAGACATCCTAACATGATACTAGGAACTATAAAGACATCCTAACATGATACTAGGAATCAAAATAATTTAAGCATACTTTCTAAAGATATAGAGCAACAAAACAACTTACTTTATTGCCTCGTATCTCTTTCTATCAAAACTATACATGCGTTAGTAACTTCAAGGAAAATAATAAATCAAACAATTAATTTAAATACTTGAAATAGAGATTTGGACCAAACCCTTAGAAATTATCAACCTTTCACGTCTAGGGCGAAGGCGACTTCGAGCTTGGATAGGTGTGTCTAAGTCTTGTGATGGACGAATGGTGTTTATGAAAAGGCAAGGCTGAGAAAGAAGGAGAAAGAAAGAATAAGCTTCTAGCTTTGAGAGAGAATAGAATTAGATGATATTTGACGATTATTCGATTTAAAAATGCAGAATATCGAACCTATTATAGAGAAAATCAACCGAAAACAATAAAAAAGTGTCAGAATTCGAATCGGAATAAAACTGGAGCCATCGTGGTGTGACAGAGTCCATCGCGGCACGATTAGACAGTTTTTTGTGGATTTTTTTTTATTATATCTTTTGATCCAGAAGTCAAAATAAGTCATATAATATGTAGTTGGAAATATCTTGGAGTCTAATTTCTAAACCAATTAAAATCAAATTAGTATCTTTTGTAGAATAAAAAATGTGGCTGAAATAGTGGAAGGGTGTCAGTTTTGTATAGAGTTTCGTATTTCTTTTATATCTTTTTCGTTATAGCTCGGAATTAATATTATAATATATCATTGGAAAGATAATTTCATGATCTATCCAACCATTAAAGATTTGGATAAAAATTATGATGCACAAAAATAATATCTGATCATCTTTGAACGTCTTTCATTTCGATTAGGATTAGGACTTAAAAAAGGAAAGTTTTATTCAATTTCAAATTCTTTGATCTTATCTTTCAAAAAAGGATAATTAAGATCTTTTAGAAACTAATAAAATATTCTAATAAATCCTAATTGGTTTAGGAATGAGATTATACCTTAGGACCCTCCACATGATCATTGGATCGTAGGTAAAATCTGGTTTGGGTCAAGGTTAGTATTTTTGGCATAACTTCCTCATTATTCATCGAAATTAGACTTGTTATATATCGTTGGAAAGGTATTTTCAAGCCTCATCCAACTACGCAACTATTGTACCCTGATTATGGACTATAATAAACTGGATTAGACATTTTTCATAATTAGGATACGAAAAGAAGTATTTTCGAAAACAGAAATGAATTATTTTTATTAAAACATTTTAAAAAACAGAAGAATTCACGAGACTCTTCACATTTCACCTTGATCGGTATTCAATGACGTGAAAGGTACTCATCACTGGGTTTGGTTTTTGGGGAGACACAATCAGGTGTCTACAATTGCTGTCATTCTTGATCCTACGCGGAAAATGGGATATACTAAATGGGCAATTAATCAACAATATGATTCTGAAAAACCTAAGTACATGTGTGCTAAAGTGATGCAAACTCTAAATGACATGTATGAACTTTATTCTTATGAAAACCCTCCAAATGTCATGTATTAGTTTGTTATTTTTAAAATTATGGACTTTTTTTTTTTAAAGAAACTGTATGTTTGTATCAAGTATCCAGGTTTAATATCAGCCTATCAAATTGTTATTTTTTAAATTCAAGGAATTTATTTTTTAGGTTTTGTATGATTATATCAGGTGGTTATATTTATTATGGATTTTTTTTAGGTACTGTTCAGGTATTCAGGTTTAATTTTTATAGTTCAAAAAAAGGAAGTAAAAAAAAACTAGTAAAAAGCATCTAAAATCCAATTGTAAAGCAAGTATTAAATAAATAAAAAGACCTAAAAAATAATAATTCAGCTTATTGGTTCGGGTATCCGAATTATGGGTACCCAAACCTTATCGGAACGGGATCGGGTATCGATTTTAGCCTTAGTGGTTATCGAGTAACCAAACCAATAACGTTATTGGTACCAGTACCCGTCTCATGCTCTCCCCTATATAATAAGCACTAGCTAAATCACTGTTAATAATTTACCATTTACATTTCAAAATTTAGAACATTATAATAATATAAGAGCAGACCACAAATTCATATAATTCAATTGTAGTTGTAAGAATCATTTCCATGATAACTACAAGAAATCACTTTTATTGAAATTCCTTATTAAATTTTGTAAAAAAATATTTGAAAAATATTTGGAAAAGATATAAAAATATGTTTATCATTTCAAAATTCTGATAACTGTATCTTAATATGTATATGACCATATACTATTATGTGATTGAACATTTACCAATATAAAAAATGATCATTTATCAAAAGAATCAAAATATAAAAAAGAACGAACATTAATATGTGAATGATCATGTACTAATATATTAATGAACATTTATATTAATTTATTAACATGTAAATAACATTGTACTAATATATAAATTGTTCATTTACCAAATTGAACTATGATGGCACAGCCAAGGGGACTATAATACAAGACTATGCAGGTAATTTTGTTATGGCATTCGCATCATACTTTGGTTATTGTGCGGCTTTAAGAGCAGAAGTGATTAGGGGTGAAAGTTTGGATTTCAGTTTGGCTTATTAGCCAAACCGAATTATTTCGGTTTTGGTTTTTCGGAACTGAATTCAAACCAAATTTGTATTCAATCCAATCCAATCCAATCCAATCCAAACCAAAATAATTCGGTTTTCATTAACGAATCCAATCCAAACTGAAATTTTGTTGGGCTGTCATTTTGGGCCTAAAAATATTAGGCATGTTAATTATTGGACTCAACAGTCCATAAAAAGTCTTAAGGCCTAATAATATAGTAATATTTTCCAAATTTAGGAGATAGCATAATAAAAAAAAATAGTCTAGCCATTAGAATAAAATTCCAGGCATAACAAAAGTCTTAAAAATGCATTAAAAGTCCTCATTCAACTAATAAATTCAACATGGCAACTTCAACAACATTACAACAGGTTCATCATTATGGCAGAAACTTCAAGACCTTCAACGACATGGCAGCTTCAACTCCTCAAACCTTTAATCAACATATAATACAACAAACGAACTTAAAATCAGAACAAGATATAATATATCAAACATAAAATTCAAAACAACATATAAACATATAATCTAACCGAAATTTCGCACCTAAAGAAAAAAATTTATTTATATACAATCTAACCGAAATTTGCAAACTTAAAATACAGAACCACCAAACCAAAACAATCAAATTCGAAGATAATCTAAAAAACAATCAAATTAGAACGTAATCAAATTCAAGTATGATGTATGATTTAAAAACAAGTGGCTAACTAACAAGGGCTACACGGTTTGGGATTAATTCGAACATAACAACCAACACGATTAGGGAAAAAACCAGAAAATAAACAACCAACATCAATGGAATTAACAATGGGGAAGCACTGTTACCTTTGATTGTCGTAGGTGTTGGTGAGGGAGCACGCACAAGGGAGCGGCAAGGTCTGACGCAACGGATGTGTTCGTGCAAGGTGGTGAGGAGAGGTGGTAAGGGAGGTGGTGACGGAGGTGGTGAGAAAAGGGTGAGAATTTAAAGAGGTAGTGAGCTGCAAGATCTGAACTCAGAAGAAAGGAAAGAGGAATGGGAAAAGAGGGAGAGGAAATTAGGGTTTAGGTTTATATATGAAAGAGAAATAGGTTGAGATATTTTGGCTTTGTATAATTCGGTTTGGAAATTCGGTGTTCGGTTTTTTGAAGCCCCTAACCGAATCCAAACCAAAATATTCGCTTTTGGATTTTTGGAACCAGTCCAAACTGAAAAACAAACTGAACCAAATTGTTAATTCGGTTTAGTTTGGTTTGGTTTTCAGTTTTAAACCGTATTACTTTCACCCCTAGAAGTGATGGCTCTTACTCGTGGGGTAGAGAAGCAAACAAAAATTTGTAAATTGAAAGGCTGAAAGTGTAGATGGATAACATTGCTTGTGTTTAAGCTTTAAGCAAATCCGCAGTCCCTAGAGGCGAGAACGATCAGGATATAAGCTACTTCCAGAAGCTATTGAATGCTAGTCATTGGGAAGTGAAGATTGCACATGTTTACAGAGAAGGGAATAAAGCGACGGATCGGTTAGCCAACCATGAAGTCGTTCAGGACTATCAATTAGAAATCTTTAATAATGTACTGGTATATCGTCTTAATTGTATTTTAGGGGAGGACGTTCGAGGGGTGGCTTTACCACGTCTTGTACCTCCGTAGGTAGTTTTCTCTTCTTGGCTTTAGCCTCATTCAGATAAAAAATATAGAACTTTCTACTACGAACTAAATTCACTATTTTTGGGCGAAAATCTGGGTTCGGGAGCTGAAGTCAACTCTAATACGAGACTAAAATTAATAAACCGAGCTACTAATCTAATTATCAACTTAAAACCAGAAAATTAAGCCATAAAAACACCTTGAAAAACATGATTATAAAAATAAATGAGCAAGGCTCCGATACCGCTGTTGGATTTCTGTGAGTCCAACCCACCGCGGAAAGAAACCCAGCCCAAAACCAAGCTCATAATAATTAAAACCATAATGCATAATTAAAATAAACACAAGACTCTAAGTAAGAGATTATTACCTTTGTAGCATGCTTCACTCACTTAATTAAGCTCTTACTTCGAAAGCCCGTTAGCCCCGCTAACACGGGGACCTCCTACGATGTCCACCCGTTACGCGAGCACCGAACTCACTCTATTGCCTTGGAGATAGCAAGGCCCGACCTAAACCCAAGTAATTAGTGTTCAAAGGTTTTCACACTATGATGCCTTTTTCAACACTTACTCAAGTGAATAATCCCAAGGCATGCCTTGGGTAGTTATAAGGAAAGCTTCCTTGTAAATTCCATTCATCTTTCAATGTGGGACTTTTTCACAAAAAGATCCCACATGGAAAGACTGTTGAATTCAATCCTTAGTCAAATACACCAAGGAATAATTAAGTAACAAGTATCGCATGGTTAGGTGAGGACCACTTCCTCACTTGCTCTCCAAGGCAACTCATATGCATTGTGAGCTAACCATGTGTCACCCAAACTTGAGCCCCAAATTGGGTTAAGTTGGGCCACTACTTTTTGACCCATGTTCATGACCCTTCACCCGGGTCCACAGCCCATGCCACGTGGCGCGCTACCAACATGGCTACTGCTACTTGGCGGCTGCCAACGTGGCTGCTGCCACGTGCGTTGCCACATGGCATGCTGCCATGTGTGCTCCCACGTGGCACGCTCCTATTTGGCGCACTTCCCTAGACTTTTGCGTGGCTAGGGTTTTAATTGTTATTTGAAGCATTTTTCGGTCTCGCCAATTCCTAAATTTTTGCTTCACTTTCGACGCTTGGATTTGACACTCCAAGCTCGAATTTCCGACGTCTAAATCTTAATTACTCGGGTGATTCATTAATTCATTCCGAATTAATTCATCGCATCGGTTCATTAGTTTCTTGGGTGTGACTTGAAGGGTTCAGTTAAGATTAAGCTGTAATATTAATTATACATCAATATTACTAATCGGAAGCGGCCTCCACCAAGCATTCCGATCACTTGACCTCACTGAATAATTAGCTTTCTAATTATTCCGAACCCTCTATCGGAATAATACACTTGTTCGAAGGACACCATTCCTTTCTCCAGGGACGTAGCTTCCCTGAAAATTAGTTTTAAGGGATTTCAAGATAAATACCCTGTTAGGTCAAATTAGGAAATCAAAGTCCCACCTGTAGAGGAAAATGTGGTTTGGGAGGATGATCTTTAGCACACCGACAACTATTTCAGCTGCTATAAGTCGGCAATCAAAGTCGAACTCCGCTTCCCTTTTCACAAGGTAATAAGAAGGATCTTGAATGGGTATGAGCTGGGCGTATGGAAGCTCACCCCTAACTTGTGGATAAATATTCAGAGTTACATCGCCGCCTGCGAGTTCCGTAATATTGAGCCGAGCTTCGAGGCCTTTGCTCATATGCATTACATGAGTCGCGCTCCAGGCGGCTGGGGAGCGTGGTACCCTTTAACCACCCATTCGAAGTACATGATGACTCTTGATAAGCCGTCTAAATTGACCAATTGGAAAATAAGTTTTATCTCATCTCTTCTCCCACTCTAACAATGAACCGGGTCTTACCCCGGTACAATAAGGAACCGGCATTGCTCGGAACTGCGCCCTCCCCCACATTCCTCCCAAGGCTTGGGAACAAATAATGGAGCCAAAGTTCTTCAAACCACCACTGGGCCCTTAGAAGATGGGACCCAAATAATAGTGCTAAGGAATTGGGTGCCTCATCCTAACTTACTGAAAGATGAGGCGTTTCTTTTTCCCTACTGCCAGAGCGCTATGTTTTCAAACATATGTAGCAGTATTTTGCAAACGTCTCAATAATTGCGTTTATATATATATTTTTTATTTTTAACCATCCGGTTTTCTTTTGCAGAGGACGCTTTGAAAATGGTGAATCTAGAGAAGACACCAGCTAAGTCAGCTGCTCTTCTAAAAAAGGAGCAGCTGGAGAAGAAGAAAAAGTCCTTGGATACCAAGGATGATGGGGTAAGTCTGCCTGCCATTTGGAGGCAAGCTTGTCTTTCTTTTTACATTGTGCCGGTTATAACCCTTTTGCCTCATCTGTAGAGTGGGAGCAAGACTATCCCCCGCTCTCTTTCCAAAATGTTCAAGCGGCCCCTGCCTGGGGTGAGCTGGGAAAGTCCCCGGCCAAGGTAGGGAGGAAAAATCCCTCCTAGTCTATCTCGGCTGCTACGCCCGACCAACCGAGGCCTACAACCGAGGGAAGAGCCCGGTTGTATTGAAGACTTTGAGCGAAAGCTCAGAGAGGGCAAGCAAGATGTCGGACGCCTCTACGGCGTCAAAGGGTGGAATGCCACCTAATACTGCAGACAACATTACAGTGGTTGGAGATGGTGGGGCCTCGCAACCCAGAGACCAAGGTAAGGAAGATTTCTTTGAACTCCCATGGCCGCTTGACTTTATGCGAGTAAAAACCCAAGAGAGCTCATCAAGAGAATTATTCAGCAGCCGGCACAATATGGGTGCCGCCTATGCTGCTTTCTCACCACATCCTTCTTATAGTGCAGATGTCTCCTCCAGCCGGCCTGATGTTCATCAATTCGCCAAGTAGATGATGAGGACAATTACCAGGTCTAAGAAAGACCGGGTGCCAAGAGTGCATTCGGTCAATTTTGACCAAATCCTAGCCCTACTGGCTAAGGTAACTAAGCTTAACTCAAGTATATTTTAATCTTTACACTTATCTTCCAACCCCTCTATTTACCGTCTGTATTCTACAAGTGATGCTGAAGGTAGAGGGGTTGAAGGCTCCGTTTAGAAGAAAATAGTTTGAGGTAAATGATGCTAAACAGAGGGCCACAAATGCTCTCAACTCTACTCAATACCAAAATAGCATGAGTTAAATTGAGATTAAAGCTGCAGAGTTGAAACAAAAGGAACTGATCGATCAAGACATTGATGACTGTAGTGGAGGAGGCCAACACCACAGCCACCAACTTAGAGTTGGTGCTTAAAAATTCTCAATTTGACTTGAGGGCTTTGGAAGGGGCGGACAAGGAGAACACCTAGCTTAGGGATGAAAACAACTGGCTTAAGCTTGACATCGTTCAAATAAGGAACGCTCATCAAGAAGAAATCTCTAAAGAGCAGAACCGGCTAGTGGCGGAGATTGAGAGGGATACTAAGGCCCGCCAGAAACTGGCTTGGGATCTGGTCCACCCTAACGCTGACTAGGAGTTCTTCAACCTGCAGTACCAGTATGCCACCGAGGTGTACGATGCCGAACAGCTAAAAGAGACAACGCCTCCTCCCTTCAAGGAATAGACCCTGGCCCAAGGCATTGAGATTGCCTCGGACGAGGAAGATAAGCCGAACAACGAAGCTCCGGTTGATTCTAACCAAGCTCAACCTGAGCAAATTGTAGAAGACCTCCCGCTCAGCCAGACCCAGGAGGTGCCTTTGCCCCAGCAGTCTTAGGTTTTCTGCGGCAGTATGCCAAGTGTCTCCTTCGGCCTGTGTGTCGTGCATCTTTGTATTTTACCGACTGAGGAGTCAGGTAATTCAACAATCACTCTTTTCTGTTTGTCTTTCCCGGATGCTCCGGTCAACAATATCGCCCGGCCATTTGGTTGGGTTTAATTTATGAAATGTACTGACTGAGTCAGTTTTGTTTAATTTGTTTTAAATTTTTGCATTTGAATCTTTGCATACATATATATACTTGAATTTTTGCCCAACTCTTTAATAGAATGCGGCAACTGATGAACCTCATGTACTTGCCCCTAGGCGGCTATGTGGTTGATTTCAAAGCTTTATCGATTGATTGAATTGGGAACTTTTGATACTTTAAAGAGTATGAGATGTTCCTAAGTCAATAAATCACAGTAGTAATTGCCCCAAACCAAGTACACAACCGTTCAACATAACAAGTGGATTAGCCGTTTGCCCAGGCGCTTTAAGTAGTTGTATTGAACTTCTCGCCATCGTCTAGGGTACCTGCAATCTATTGTACTCTATGTCCATTTTCCCTATTAGGAATGTTTGTACAATTTCGAAGAGTTAGAACTTCGGCTGGTCGCCGGCTGATGTCTTTAGATATCCAATATTCGTGGACTTAGTTATTCCCTTAGATTACTTTAGTCAGACGACTATG